AACAGAGCAGCAAGGAGAAGGTTGCTGTCAACTGATATGGGGAAGGGGGTATAACTGAAAGCCTCCCTCACTACAAAGAGCCATCTTATGGAGAGAGAATGTAGGATCCATGAGAAAAGAGAAGTAGTCCCCGATCTCTATTCCAGGGCTTCTGCCCATCTTTATTCCATCCATCCTCTCTCTGATCTCTTGGAACTGGAGATCAACACTGACAGTATGAAGGTTCCAGCCCTCCACCCCATCACTGCAACTGTCTGACTTTAAGTGGGGCAGCCACACCTATTTACTTGCTGTCCTGCTTTTACATCAGATTTTATAGCATGCTGATTTCTCTTCCCAACTCCAAGCTTTAATTTTTAATTACTATTTTTTAAGATATGGTCTGCAGTTCTGGGGAGCATTCTCCACTACCGCCAGCTCAGATGGTTCCTTCTGAGAGGCACATGGCTGGCAATGGCTCAGATGGAGAAAGTAGAGAAGGGTGGTAACTCAGTCCTCAGCAACCTTGCTTGCTGGGTGGAGGAAGGGGCAGAGGCATAGACAAGGAAGAGAGCAGTGACTTGGTTCTTAGCAATGTTATTGTTGGTCATAGTCGTGAGCATGATGGTAGAGGTTGCTGCTTCCTCCTGATCCTCCTCCTGGGATGTGAGGTAAGAAGGCAGCAGCCTGGTCCCTGCTATTAGCAGAGCTGCGGCCCTTGATGTCACCACCATAACCCCACTTAACTTTGTACTAGTTCCACAACTGATCCCCCTCATATAGAACTAGGGTTGAGCCAATGGGGATTGTGGTGTCAGCGTCAGCAGAGTGCCTAGCAGCAGTTCCCAGGCTGCTCCCATCTCACTTCACTTCTCATAGGAAAAGAAGAGGCATTGGAAGCCCCCACTGTCATGGTCACTGCTGAGCAGTAGCAACAACACCTGACAACTGATACATAAATATAATCATCTTTTTAACAGGCAGTAGTAACATAACATGCCAGAGATAATAATGAAGCCATCTAGTAATTGCCATATTTGAATCTATATTGTAACTGTAACAAACAGATAAAACATTTGTGAAAATTTGCTTAATAATCCATTTAAGAAAGCAGTGAACGTGTCCACTCAACAAATAATTTAATTTGCTACATCTCTAGCTGTTTTGTCTATTTGTCTCCATAATAAACTACTTTTGTTTTAATAACAAAGTACTTTAAAAAATGTTCTGGCATAAGAGCCTCTGATACATCAGTTATATTTTAATAAGATGTTTGTCTGAAGGATATTAGCACTGTATCCACAATTAATCAAAGACTGCTTCATGTGCTTCAATACATGCCTTTTGGGGGGAAAAGATTTAATAGCTGGATGAAGCAAGGAAAAGCCACAGGTAAGGCTGCTTCATTCTTTTTAACAGTTCTTTGTTACAACAAGACTACTTGATCAATTGAATACTTCCAGAAACAGTGGTTGCTACCAGTCATTATTCAATTATGTGAAAAAGTCTACACAATTATTTGATATTCTAAACATTCATAATCTGCATAATAATAAACATGACACATTTTTTAAAAAACTGTTCAGTTAACTAGAAAAACATGCTTTGCTGATTGCCATTAATTCAATGTTAACAAACATACATTCATATTTTTGCACTGCTGTGAGATACTTTACATTATGATTTTTAATGACACAAATGATTTAAATATCAACCTTCTCCAAGTAAGTTTTACTCATATTAACTTACAAACAGTAGCCCAATAATAATTTTTTTAGAAAGCAAGAGTAAATAATCATTTAGGCACTACTAAGCTGAATGTTATTGAAATGACTGGCTTGAGGAGATAACTGAATTGATTTTTTTCCCCCTAAATCCAGTACTCAGGCTAGTTCTAACAGGACTTCACTCTCCCAAAATAACACATCAAAAGGAATACTAAGGAGGAACACCAAACACTCAAGAGTGAAAATCCCATGTACATTTCGAAGAACAGTTTAGAAAGCATAGTTTACTACAATGTAAGTATTTTACTTCCACTAAGAGCCAGCATGGTGTAGTGGGTTGAGCGTTGACTATGGAGGCCAAAGTTCAAATCTCCACTTGGCTATGGAAACCCACTGGGTAACCTTGGACAAGTGGCATTTTCTCAGCCTTGGATGAAGGCAAGGGCAAAACCCACCCTGAACAAATCTTGCTGAGAAAACCCCATGATAGGGTTGCCCTGGGGTAATCATAACTCGAAAATGACTTGAAGGCACTCAACAACAACAAATTATTTGTTTTGCCATATTAAAATTGTTGGTGTAGTACGTCTCAATAGGGTATTAAGAAAAAATAATGCAATGACCAAATCAGGCAATAAACAGCTATAAAATGACCCCCCCAATGGCTCAAATTAACTCTGAAACATTTAAATCAAAGAGAATCTAAGTGTTGCAAATACAGTATAAACATCTCTTTGTATCAGAAAATAGACAGCCTAAGTACCCTGAAGGCACCAGATCATGATCTTGGATGCTAAGCAGGATTGGCCCTGGTTAATACTTGGATGGGAGACCACCAATGTGTACCAGATGCTGTAGGTTACACATCAGAGGAATTATTATTTGCCAGGAACTGGCAAAACCACCTTTACATATTTGTTGCCTAAGAAAGCCCATGTGATTCATGGGGTTGCCCTAAGTTGACAGGTGACTTGAAGGCAGAGGAAAATGCATGTGCATGCACATGCATGTACACACACACAGCAGACAGAGTTAGCCATCAAGCCATCAATCTGGCTGCATGCCCTTATAATGACAGAAAGAAGTTTCAATTATTATGCTCTCACACCAAGGTTTATAACTACCACACCTGATCCTCTGAATGTGTATTTACAACACATATACCCTTAAAAACTATGTTCAAAAGAAAGAGTGTGTGTGGAGATATTGGGAGAATGACATGGCAGCGAACACATTTGAAGACATTGAGTCAGGTGGCTAACAGAGATGAGCAAAGGTGTCCCTAAGCTTGAACTATTTAGCTATGTATGTATTTTATATCCCACCTTTCTCCTAGTACAGGACCCAAAGTGGATTATATCAGTCATAATTTAACTTAATGTTGTTGAGTCTAATTGATGGTGTTAATAATCGAAGGTTAACTTGGAAAAAATAACTATATACTGAAATCTTTCATTAACATTATTAGGACTTGACTTTGTACAAAAAATGTGAAATTATAATTTATCTCTTCTATATGTAAATGTTGAACTAGACAATATATTTCTTAAGATCCCAAATGTTGAACTAGATAACATTTTTCAGAAGTATTATGATCATAGTAACCTCCTGAATGCAGAGATTTGAAAAAGTAACTATTTTTCAAAAGTACAGTTACTAACAAAAAGGAGATATGAAAAAAAAATAAACCATATTGACATGTTCCCTGATTAAAATCCTTGCTTCCATTAGCAATCATAATGGTGCAACAATAAGGAACAATGTCAACTATTTTCTGGCATTCTAGATAATATTTGTAAATCAAATTCAATTAATTTTAACAAATTATCTTTCAGACTTAAGATTCTTAGATCATTTAGAATATTTCATAAAGGAATCCATGCAGCATGGAAGTTCACTCAACACTGATTTCAGTGGAAGGGAAATGTGGCATGTTGTTTTTTTCTTTTTATGGAATTCTGAAAAGTTTCTCTAAATATAATGCTGAAATAAACTGTTGTATAAAATATGCAGAGAACAGAAATCTATAAGAAGTCTTGCTTAACATTAATATTTTTACTATTTTGATTCTACTACAACTACTAGAGTTGCTACAATAAGACTATTATTTCCTTTTAAAAGCAATAAAGTGACAAATATACCGGTATGCAAAAACCAGAAAGCAGTACATGTCATATTGAAACATACACATTCCCCCTTTACTAATGTTGGTCATCTAGTGCCTTGGAAATCTACCTAGTGTATTCCATATAATTTCTAAGCTCTTGACTTTTCTCTTAGTCTTTTATCCAAATAAGAAGGAAGAGTATTAGCAAAAGCATTGACAATTTTGATGTGGGGTAGAAAACAGACGTAGTGAGGCTTCCATGCAGTGCCAGGAAATGGAATCATATTGCCTCCCCTTGGAAAAGCCTTCAGAAAGGAAAAGATATTTCTTTCCACTCTATCCCTCCCATGATGTCTTGTCTGTGGAAACAAGACCTTACATTATCAAGAGTAACAGGTTTTCCCATTAATTCAGTGAATCCCACAAGAAGTGGCTAGTAGTCATGAATGTACAAGGTCTAAATTCTCATACTTTTCTTGTCCATGAGTGGATCTTTTTATAAGGTAGTCTATTTAGAGTAAAAAGGTACATTAAGGGACCCCAGAGAAAGGGGAATTACCCTTTCCCCTGTGACTCAGGAGAATTCAAAATTAAGTACTTCAATCTCATTTGTTTTTGAATTAAACTCCAAGTATGGAGATTCTTTTTGGACAGATTTATAAAAGGGAATATTTTTAGATCAAAGCACAATTATTTCCTTATTGTTGTCCTTGTTTCCATAATCAATGTTTATGTTCAATGATTTCTCTTATTTAAAGATGTTTCACTAATGAAGGACTAGGCCTTCTAATATCCTTCAATACAGACAACTTCATATGCGGACATTTTGTTGTTGACAAGTGAATAAATCCACTTTTATGTCCTGAGAGCTCATACAATATAGAAATGAAATCTGATCATTGTATTGTACAAACATGAATGTTTCTTCTGTGAACATGTACCGTCAGCTACTCTTGGGCAAAAATTCCCAAAATATACCAACAAAAAGAATGTATCATGTCTTAATATGTTATAATGTTGTTGTTGTTGTCGTTGTGTGCCTTCAGGTCATTTCCCTCTTATGGTGAGCTAAGGGAAACTTATCACAGGCTTTGCTTGGTAAGGTTTATTAATAGGATGTTTGCTATTGCCAACCTCTGAGGCGGAGAAAATGTGACTTCCCCAAGGTCAGCCAGTGGGATTAACATGGCCAAGCTGGGATTCAAACCCTGGTCTCCAGAGCTATAGTCCAAAGCCAAACCATTACGCCATGCTGGCTTGAGAAGAAATAACAGCGGATATGTAATATATTTTTTTGGAGCCAGTGTGGTTGTTTGAGCACTAGAGTAGGACTCTGGAGGTCAGGGATCAAGTCCTTGCTCAGCCATGGAAACTCACTGAATGACCTTGGGCATGTCACACTCTCTCAGCCTCAAAGGAAGGCAAAGGCAAACCCCTCTGAACAAATCTTGCCAAGAAAATGCCATAATACAGCCTTGGAATCACCATAAGTCGGAAACAACTTGAAGGCACACAACAAAATCGACCTTGTGCCTAAATTAACATGCCCAAGGACTAAACATATTTCTTATTTCCAGGTTTCCTTAAAATTAAGAAATTATTTTGACTAAAAATATACTGGATGAGTGTATCATTTTGTCAAAGAACTTATTTATAAATGTTATTGTACAATCTTATATTCTTGCAAAAAAACCCAATCCAAATATTTGGAGGAATTAAATACAAGCGCATGCACACCTCCACCCACACTATCTATCTATGAATGCACAAATATTTAATCCTTTAAATGCCTGTTTGAATACAATCAGGGATAAAGCGGGTTTCAAACATAAAGTAATTTTAAAACATAAAAGAATTTTAACAGAAAGTCTGGAAAGATATGCCTAATTTGTTTTCTTAGAATCAGCTGATCCGAAATATCAAAATGGTGGCAAGACACAATTACTGCACTTTTACAAGAATATGATCTTTGACCCCGGAAGAACCACTTCTGTGCTCCTTTTCACATATGCAATACTTACCTTCTTCCGAAGTGGAAAACTAAACAAAAAATAAAACACTTCTGAGTGAATAATTACATTCGTCACATCTTTGACTATGTTTTGAAAAACAAAAACAAAACAAAACACAAGAGTTGTTTCTTACCTCTGAATATGTAACACGTGACTCCTCCAGATTTGCTCATTAGCATACAGTCAGGCTAAACTGCTTCACAGAACATTTCGTCAGCCATTTTGAGACTGCAATGTTTCAGCTGGGCTGAAAGTGTGATTAAGATGGCTGCAGTGTGCCTTCAACGTCAGCCAGTAGTAACACAGGAAAGTGTGAATCACTTGCCATAAAGCACCTCCCTCTTTATGCAGCAGTACAAACACAGGGGGCTATTAGTGCAAATGCTGCAGACACGCTGCAGTTTCTCAGAGCACAAGTGCTACAGAGAAAACCTACCAGGCACAAAGACTGCCTCTGTGAACCAGCTGGTAGCTCAGGATATAACACTCCAATCCTGATCTGAGTCCAAGCAGCTGCAAGTCCATGTCACATATTATCAACTACAGGAAAGAAGCCAAACATTACTGGCAGGCAGGGAATGCTTCTCAGGAGGAGCCTTATTTGAGCTCCCCCATCCCAGCATTAGAAAAAAAAACCCCCACACATTCAAGTGATTCTCAATAACTACTGCAAAGGGGAATAAAGTAATTGAGTTTTCAATAACCAATCAACTGCAAGCCATTCCCTGCATAACTAGAAGATCCACAGTAAGAGTTTGCAAAGGTAGAAAATTGCAATGACATACTTTAGTCTTGCGTAAGTACTTCTGCTGACTATTTGCTGCAACATTTGACCAATCAAGCTGAAAAAGGCAAAACACACAAGAATAGAAGAGAGTAATCTGGTGGCAAAATTTCTCCCCTTCTATACCACTTGTCTGTCTTAATATAAATTACGTCAAGGGTCTTTTTGTTAGGAGGTTTTTAAAGAGCATATCTTCTATAAAGATTAAACATCCGCCACCTCATAATAAACATTTAAGAGGCTTGTTGTTCATGTTAGATAACTATTCAAACAAGCTTTCAGTAGACAAGAATAAGTAGATATTTTACAAAGCTTTTCAAGGCACACATATTTTATTGCTGTGCATGAAGATAATTAATAATTATTCCATACTTTTGCAATTACTCACACTGCAAATCACCACCATATTTGTTTACATAGTGCTTTCTCAGCATTCAAAGCACCTCACATACATTGCCTTGGCAATGCCAATCCTTATTACCATCTCTGTACTGCACAAAAAATATTTAGGTAGGTATATAATTGGAAACCAGCATGGTGTAGTGGTTTGAGCATTTCACTACAACTCTGTGGAGACCAGGGTTCAATTCCCACACAGCCATGAAACCCACTGGGTGACCTTGGGCAAGTCACATACTCTCAGCCTCAGAGAAAGGCAATAATTAGCAAACCTCCTCTGAACAAATCTTGCCAAGAAAACACATAACAGGGTCATCGTAAGTCAGAAATGACTTGAAGGCACACACAACACACACAGTCCCACATATGTGCCCAGTTTAACATTTGAAAAAGAGATTTCCTGACTATTGGTTCGCATTCTTTGTCATCACACAATGTCAACACTGAGTTGCTATATAATGCAAAGTGTTAAAAATTAAATATACATAATGTGTGTATGTACGTGAGCACACATATATCTACACACACACACACACAAAATCATAGAAGCAAGTACCTAAGATGTGACCAGTATTATATGGAAATAAGGTAACTGAAGGAAGAATGTGAAACATCTCCTCAGGGAGCAAAACAGGATGACATCCACAGATGAAATATTAAAACCAGTAATTTAATAAAACACCTTTTAGTCCTATCAGAATTCTGAGAAAGAATCAAAAACTAACCACCCCGAGCAATCACATCTGCAAAACCTATATAAGAAAGCAGGAGAGATTCCAGGTCGATTGTTCTGAATTTTCAATAAAAGGAAACAGGCTAGAGGTTGGAGATGGAGTGTGAACGGTGCTCAAATCATTTTCACACTTGCCAATTATCTCTTGCAGTATTCCACTCAGCCCTCCATTCCCCTCCTGCATGGGCAACCAGGATCCAGCTCTAAAAATAAACTTAGCTAAATGAGAAGACAACCTCAAGATCACATAAAGGCAGAAACTAGGAGATGTTACAAGTATCTCCTCACTGCACCTCTGCTAACATCTCCCCACATCATCCTCACATTCCACTTATGTCAGCAAATGTGGCACTGGGACACACTTTTGCCACACTGCCCTTACTGATAACCAAGTTCTCTTTTGTCTGCCATTTCAAACTGTAAGGTGTTTGCAGACGAATTTTTTCCCAAGATGCAAGTTTTCAATGGCCCAGAAGATGTTCTTTAATACACTAAAATAAAAAAAAGTGGACATAATAGATTTTGCTCAAATTTGTCATGTGATCTAGTGGTGATGAAATTAATTTTAGAAACTTTGATGATATCTGATTATGTTCTATGCCAAAACACCTTCCTGGAAGGGAAGGAAGGCAGCAGGGATTATCACCTAGATGTCCCCTATGTGGAAACCCCATGAAGTAAAGCTTGCTGGTGCACACTGCTTGCTTGTACATCGCAGAATCTACATCTGCACATAGCTGCAGACATGGCCATAAAAGGCAATTGTAAAGCAGACTGCAGACCATCAGTCACAGGGAGGGAGCATCCTCTCCTCTCCAATCAGCAAGAAGCAAAATATCCTTAACCTGCAGACTCAGTGAAGCTCAAACTATGCCCTTTGTGGTAAAGAACACCAGTGCAAGGAAATGGAGTAGTGTTTAAAGGTATATTCAGCAACTGGTATTTTAAATTATCTGCTACTAAGTACTGTTTTTGAAAGTACATGTGTAACCACTATTTTACTTAGTTTTGATTATGACAATGTTCAGCTTCCTATCATGTCCAATATTGAATTTCTGTATCCAAATTGTTAACCAGACAATTTTGCTAATTAAACGTTTATTAATCATGTCACGCTTAGAGGAGTTCAGTGTGAAAGCTCCCCCAAACTTTGTGAATTCAGTGTTTTAGAAGAACATTTAGGAGTATATATACATATATGGACACACCTAATCTGCAATATCTAGACTACAGCGCATTACAAGCAGAAAAAGCTTTATATCCTTGGCTCAGAACAGTGTGATAAAATGGAATTAACGCCTAAAAACATAGAACTCACTTCAACGTTTAGACATGTTCATACAAGAATAGCTCTGACATGATGTGACAGAGCTAGTTTCTCTGAACCAGATTTGAAGCAACCAGCACCACTATATAGGGCTGCCCAGAACAAGAGATTCGGAGAAAATCAAGATTCTCAATTAAGTTACTTTTGAAATAATGCTCTATGCAAGTATGCTTATTTTTATCTTCCTTTCTAGACATAGTAATTGATCACAAAGCAACTTTTTATTTCCTCTTTGCAAAGATTTTGTAAGCTACACAAAATGGCTGCCATAGCACAAAATGAAAGCACACTATGCTAGGTTTTCTCAAACATTTCAAACATAGGAAACTGTACAGAAAACATATGAATCATTATTAAGAAAGATACTGAGCTCTTTTGATACTGTTAACCCTTTTCTGCAGTATTTCAATCCCTGTTGCAACTTCAACTCAGAGCTGTTTACTATCCTGTGAAAAGTGCAGCTAAGGGATAGTTGAGAAAGTCAGCATGGTTTGTTATGGAGAGAACGTCTGAAACTTAAACTGGGGATAGGGATGACCATTAACCTAAGATCGGTTCCCCCAGTGTTCCCACACACTAGGATGTAACTTAGCCTTCCCATATTGAGCATGAAAGTCTGAAGGCAGCTTGTTATAGAAGGTCTAACTTATATCCAAGTGCTTGGGGCACTAGAGGCAGGAATAGACTGACCTTTGCATGAGAGTTATGGCAATTTTCTTAATCAAGAAAAAAGGACAATCATGTACATTCATTCACTAATCTTCTTTATGGGAGATAATGTTTTCATCCAAAGAACTTCTCAGTGCACTATGTTACTTGAAGCAATATTCAATCCAAACCAGCCCATTGTCAGATCTTGGTTTGGAGAAAAAAGCAAGCAGTGATGCAAAATGAAGCAAGCCATAGGAAGATTCCACTACCTTTCTCTACTCCACCTCCATATGCCATTTATTAAGGAATGACAGGGATTTCAAAATGTACTTCATGTGTGAGATAAATTAA